CTAGTCGAGGACTGTGACTACGGCTGTAATATGAAGTTCTCAAGTGAGAACTCCAGGGTCTGAAGGTGTAATGTAATCTCCCTGTGAGAGGGTTGACCTCTATTTAAATAGTGACTGTCTGATCTCCCAATCTTGGTAGGATTGGGAGTTCTCATAGTAATCTGTTTCTTCCAGAGATATATCCTTTGACCCTATTATCTTGGCGTGAAAGGGAGTCCAAGTATGACTCTGACACGGGCCTTAGAGGAGTTGGGATGGTAATAGACTGCTTTATCAGTGTTCCAGTAGGAATGTGATTCGTAGATGACCGTGGGCTTTGAATTCAATCATGGGTCCAGGAAGTGTACTGGGATTAGGAGGCCTGTGTCCGGATGGTTCGGACCGACTGTACCTCGTATCAAATGGGCCTTATCAGAGGAGTTCCGGCTTGGGCCGCACCAGGATTGGGCCTAGACTTTTCCTCATTGTCAGACGTGTTATCCTATTTGGGCCAAGGACATTTTTTGACCCTAACAATCACAGATCTACCAAAAATTTATTTGTTTTCTTCTGTCAATTTATAGTATTGGTCAGTAATGAGTATCAAATACTTCTAAGAAAATGAAAATTTATGCCTACAGACAACCTCCCAAGAAGAATATGAGCGAATGTGGGATAAAGAAAACATGAAAATCATTATAAAAATATAAAAAGTAGGCGAATCCACTTATCCTTTTGGGGCAAACTGGTATGAAATATATCAAAATTTTGGCCTGTTTTTAGTGAAATGGTTTATCCAGTCTTAGTATATGCCAATTTAAGGACCTTGAGTTCCCTAGAAAGGGAGCCTGTAAACCAGCTGAGAGGTATCTTCATTAATTAGACGCCTTAATTAATTGAACTGATTAAGAATCAACGATCAAACTCATGTAAATTGGCTCATTATCAACTTCTATAGAAACTTCTGCAGTAGAACAAATTGATTGGTGCAAAGGCGATGAAAGCTACTCTTTATGTCAATAACATCGAAACATTTGAGCCAGAAACAAAATACATGCACCAATGAAAATGAAAGAATTTTTAACACTGTAGTTGGTATAAACAGATAAGGTTTGAATCACATTACTTAATTTCAAGTGGCCGCCTTCCACATGAATACTTGCAAATGAAGAACAACACAAAATCCAAAACATCGCTGTCAAGTTTATGGGCTGCTTAATTTATGTACAAGAACAATTATGAAATTCAATGTTAAGATTATGTATATTCCTCTTTAGCTATTATAAATAGAGCCTTGATCCTCAGCTTGAACTACAACATCAAGCCAAACCAAAACTAGAACAATTAAGCAGAACGTCATCTTCATCTGCTTTAAGTTCTGCTTCTTCTTATTATCACTCTTTTTCGCCACTGTTGAAGCTTCTGTTCCTCCTTCAGACACATTTCAGTCTGTCAACGAAGGCGAATTTGGAGACTACGTTGTTGAGTATGATGGGAATTACAGAGTTCTAGATGTGTTCAACGTGTTAAGGATCAAGTTGGTATATAGAAGAAAACTCAGTTAGTTAGAAATTAGTTATGCTGAGCTGTAAGTTAGTTAGAAGAAATTTGTTAAACAGTTATGTATTATTTCTTTGTATATAAGCAACAATGTAACAAACTTCATTCATTCATTGAATAAAAGTATTCTTCATTTTCACGTTTCTTGCCCCCAAATTAACATGGTATCAGAGCAAGAATTCCAGGGTTTGAATATTCTAAAATTCACAGAGAACTTAACTCTGTTCATCAGTAATTCATAGTTTTACTGATTCATCAGTTTCGTCAGCTTCTTTTCGTCAATTTCAGTTTCTTCTTTTCATCTGTTTCATCTGTTTCATCAGCTTCGTCAACATCTCCTCCGGATTTCGTCTATTATCTGATCTCATTTCCTCTGATCAAAAAGCTATCATCTTCATTCTTCCAAAATGGCAACTGTCAGTGCAGATGGAGAGATGCAGTCTTCTGCAAATAATGGAAATGATCAATCGAGTTCATCAATCGATTTTAGTCATCAGCTTTACCTACATCCTTCTGATACTCCAGGTGTTGTTCTCGTCTCTTTTCAATTAAGTGGTGTTGATAATTACTCATTATGGAGTAGATCTATGAGAATTGCATTGTTAGCTAAAAATAAGATTGGATTTATTGATGGAACTTGCACAAAAGATAGCTTTCCAGTTAGCTTGCACAATCAATGGGATAGATGTAATGCTATAGTTCTCTCCTGGATCATGAATTCAGTTACTAAAGAACTCTTAAGTGGCATCGTTTATGCATCTAGTGCACATCTAGTATGGAAAGATTTGAAAGAAAGGTTTGATAAAGTGAATGGATCTAGAGTTTTTCAATTACATAGAGAAATAGTCACTTTAATACAGGGAACTTCGTCCATCTCCACTTATTACTCTAAACTAAGAATGCTATGGGATGAGTACTCGTCTATTGTCCAGCTTCCTTCCTGTGAATGTTCCATGTCAAAAGTTTACGTAGATCACATGCAGAATCAAAAGTTACTACAATTCTTGATGGGATTAAATGAGACTTATTTGCATGCTAGAAGCCAAATCCTCATGATGCAACCTTTACCATCTATCAACCAAGCCTACTCTATGCTTGTCACTGAGGAAAGCCAGAGAAGTTTATCCAATGCTGTTGCTGTAGAATCCTCTTCTGAACCAACAGTTTTTTATTCTTCATCCAACCAACAATCGGTCAAACCCAAAAAGAAATGGAATATAACCTGTGAACACTGCCATATGAAAGGACACAAAAAGGATAATTGATATAGGATCATTGGATATCCTGCTGATTTTAAGTTCACCAGAAGAAAGAATCCTGCCCAATCATCAGCAAACAATGTTACCACTACTGAATTACCTGATCACAGTAGTTTCACAGCTATTCAAAATAATACCCCAGCAGCAACACCTCCAATCTTTTCCAAAGAACAGTATGCAGAGATATTGAAATTGCTCCAAGAGGAACCTGCATTAGCTCCAAATGATGCACACGTTAATATGGCAGGTATTCACTCTTACTTTTCATCTTTAAATCATGGAGTCTGCTGGATATTAGACACAGGAGCCAGTCACCATATGACAGCTTCTCTAAACACTTTGAACAAGTTAATGGGGACATATTCTCCTTCCACAGTCAGACTTCCCAATGGACATCATTCAACCGTAACACATACTGGATCTTGTAACATTGGTCCAGATCAGAAATTGAATAATGTGTTATTTGTGCCAGATTTCAAGTATAATTTGATTTCTATCTCAAAGCTCACCAAAGACTTATCTTGCTTTGTCAGTTTTTATCCTGATTTCTGCATATTTCAGGGCCTCTCCAATGGGAAAATCCTGGGGATTGGTAAAGAATCAGAGGGTCTCTACTTCTTCATGCCTTCTCATGCATACAAGGCCAATGTTTCTACTTTGAATACTTTGAATAAAACTTTACCTGTTTCGTGTTCAGCTTCTGTAAGCCAGCTTTGGCATAAACGACTTGGTCATATGCCATATGCGAAACTGAAATATTTTTCTGGAATAAGAAGTTTTAATTCTGATAATGCTGAGTACCATTGTGATATCTGTCCTCTTGCCAAACATGTGAGAAAGCCTTTTCCTATTAGTACTACAAGGGCTCCTGCATGTTTTCATTTGTTGCGTATGGATGTGTGGGGACCATATCATACTCCTACACATAATCATTACAAATACTTCCTCACAGTGGTTGATGATCATTTTCGGGTTACTTGGGTTTTCCTTATGGCAAACAAGCATGAAGTCATACTTCATATTAAGAGTTTTCTTACTCTTATCCATACTCAATTTTCAGCCTCTGTCAAAACTGTTCGAACAGATAATGGCTTAGAGCTTCTCAACTCTCAATGTTCAGCTCTCTTTACTTCCTTTGGGATTATCCACCAGAAAACTTGCGTTTATACTCCCCAACAGAATAGGGTAGTAGAGAGGAAGCATAGGCACTTACTTAGTGTTGCTAGAGCCTTGAGATTTCAGGCCTCTATTCCAATCAAGTATTGGAGAGAATGTATACTCACAGCCTGCTATGTCATCAATAGACTTCCAACTGATGTGCTCCAGGGTAGTTCCCCTCATCAAGTTCTTTTTGGTTCTCCTCCTTCAATTGATCACTTCAAGGTGTTTGGCTGCTTGGCATATGCATCTAATCTGAGCTCCAGATATAAATTTGGTTTCAAGGCCATCCCATCAGTCTTTATGGGATACTCTTCCACACAAAAGGGATACAAGCTGCTGAACTTACAAGATTTCAGTTTCTTTGTCAACCGAGATGTCAAATTTATTGAAGACATTTTTCCATTTCAATTCCAGAAACATTCTTATATTCCATTATTTCCAAGTGATCATTTCAATACCATATTTTCTGATGACTCTTATCCTGCTCCTGTCAATACTGCCATTCCTGATCCATCGTTACCAGATGACCATTTCAGTCCTGGTCCTGCTACTAATCTTGCCCCTGCTGCTCCTTCAATTGATTCCATATCTCCAACATATTCAGCTCCAGCATCTCCTCCTGACATTCCTTTAAACATCAGACGTTCTGCCAGATCACATAGACCTCCAATTTGGTTGCAGGATTACATTACACCTTCAGCTCATTACTCCATTTCAGATGTTGTCTCTTATGATCATCTTTCTTCATCTTACAGGTGTTTCCTTTCTTCCATTTCTCAGATCAAGGAACCTGTTTCATTTGCTGAAGCTTCTCAGGATCCTAATTGGATTGATGCAATGCAAACTAAAATCACTGCATTAGAAGCCAATAAAACCTGGCAGCTTGTTTCTCTCCCTGCAGGAAAGCAGCCGATTGGCTGCAAGTGGGTGTAAAAAGTCAAGTACAATTCTGATGGTACCTTAGAGAGATACAAAGCTCGGCTTGTGGCCAAGGGCTATAATCAACAAGCTGGTATAGACTACACAGAAACATTCTCCTCGATGGCAAAGATGGTTACTGTCAGATCAGTCCTTGCGTTAGCTTCTATTCATGCTTGGCCACTCTTTCAACTTGATGTGTTTAATGCCCTCCTGCAAGGGGATTTTCATGAAGAAGTTTACATGTCTTTACCTCAAGGATTTGGCACTCAGGGGGAGAACACAGTCTGCAGACTGCTCAAATCCTTGTATGGATTGAAGCAAGCAAGTAGACAATGGAATCACAAACTCACCGAAGCCTTGATCAAAAATGGTTACTCACAGAGTAAATATGATTACTCTTTATTCACCAAACGAGAAGGAAGCAATATAGTCATCATGCTTGTCTATGTAGATGACATCTTGATAACAAGGAGCTGCACTAAGATGATAGATCAATTGAAGTTCATATTGCAGGATAATTTCAAAATCAAAGACCTTGGTCACCTTAAATATTGTCTTGGAATTGAAGTTGCTAGGTCCTCTGAAGGAATTGTTTTGAACCAGAGAAAATATGCACTGGAACTCATTTCGGAGGCTAGATTGTCTGCTGCAAAACCTGCTGACACTCCTCTTGAACAACATCTAAAACTGACTTCATATGAGTATGATCAAAAGTTCCTACCGGTTGAAAAGGATGAGTTGTTGTTAGATCCTAGTGTATTCAGGAGGATGGTGGGAAGGTTGTTATATCTAACCATGACTAGGCCAGACATTTCATTCGCTATCCAGACTTTAAGTCAGCACATGCAGACTCCTAAACAATCACATCTGGAAGCAGCATTGAGGGTTATAAGATATGTGAAAAAGGAACCAGTACTTGGGTTGTTCATGTCCGCAAAAAGTACAAAAGAGTTAATTGCCTTTTGTGACTCAGATTGGGCAGCTTGCGCTGTCAGTAGAAAATCAGTATCAGGATACTGCATCAAGATGGGAGATTCTCTTCTGTCTTGGAAATCAAAGAAAAAAATACTGTGGCAAGATCATCTGCAGAAGCATGGCTGTAGCTGTTGCAGAGTTAGTTTGGTTAACAGGCTTGCTTAAAGAGCTTGATGATGAAGCCAAAATACCGGCATTGCTCTACTGTGATAATAAGTCAGCATTGCAGATTGCGGCAAATCCCATGTATCATGAGAGAACAAAACACATAGAGATAGATTGTCATTTTATAAGAGAGAAAATTCAAGGTGGTTTGATCATTGCAAAATACATACCAACTGGAGAACAATAGGCAGATGTGATGACGAAAGGGTTGGGAAGGCTACAACATGAAAAACTTTTGTCCAAGTTATGCCTGAAAGATATACATAAGATGCCAACTTGAGGGGGAGTGTTAAGGATCAAGTTGGTATATAGAAGAAAACTTAGTTAGTTAGAAATTAGTTATGCTGAGCTGTAAGTTAGTTAAGGTAGTTAGAAGAAATTAGTTAACAGTTATGTATTATTTCTTTGTATATAAGCAACAATATAACAGACTTCTTATTGATTGAATAAGAGTATTCTTCATTTTCACGTTTCTTGCCCCCAAATTAACAGTTATAACACTGGGAATTTCACAAGTAATAGCACTTATGAGAAGAACAGGAATCTGATCCTCTCATCTCTTGCTTCTAATGTTACTCTACATGAAGGGTTTTTTTATAATGCAAGTATTGGCCTGGAGCCTGACAAAGTTTATGCTCTTGTGACTTGTAGAGGAGATTCTTCTGCAGAACAGTGTGCCAATTGTGTAAGTTCTGCAGCTGAAGATATTGTGAATACATGTTTGGACCAGAAAGAAGCAGTTGCTTGGGGAGGGAGTCTCAATGCATTGTACGCTATTCGAACCGCTAGATTTTCAGAGAAATGGGCGAGGAACCTATGGCTGCGGGAAGCAGTGAGAATCATATGGCGGTGAACATGACTCATTTTGATCAGACTTGGGAGAGTTTGATGAATCAGTTATTGAGAAAAGCTTCTACAAGTAAGTTTGCAACCGGAGAAGCAAATTTGACGAACTTTGTGAAGATATATGCACTCATGCAGTGTACTCCTGATATTTCACAGACTGATTGTGGCACTTGTCTACTCCAATCTGTAGCCTACTATGAAGCTCACTACCATGGCAAGTCACGTTGCCTTGTTATGAAACCTAGCTGTATGTATATCTGGGATTTAAATCATTTCTATAATGCCACTCTTGATGCTCCTTCACCATCACTTCCACCGCCAAAAATCTTGAAAGGTATGTTTCGAATTAGGATCCTCTCCTGATACGAGCTCTCCTGTTTAGTTTCGATTGCGTGTGGTAAAGATATTGTTTTCTGATTTGTGGATGCAGGCAGAGGAGGCATTAAATCTAGAACTGTTATGATAACTGTTTCTTCTATAGTGTTTATCTTTATTATAACACTTGTTGCCTTCACTTGTGTCATTTTACGAAGAAGGAAGACAAGCAGGAGACAGAAGGTATTAATTAAACTAAAGAATATTCTAAATTTGAGTTTTATGGCTGCCACAGTTCTTTCTTTCCAACGTAGGACCCATAACAATTATTGCAATTGCAGTTCCAGCATCACTTGTCTTCATAATAATTTTATCCACTTCATGCTATTGTGTCCTACGTTGGAAAGAAAGAAGAAAGTACAACGCTGTAAAAGATCATGGAAATGGTGATCATACATAACAGAACTGAATTTAAAGCTTTTGTTTTATCATAATTCCAACTAAAACTAACTTAAAATATTTTACTTTTTCTTTTCGTATAATGTTCAGCTGGAAACGAGATTTCAGTGGTGGAATCTTTACAATTAGACTTGCATTCCATTGTAGCTGCAACAAGCAATTTCTCTGATGGAAACAAGATTGGTGAGGGTGGATTTGGCAGTGTGTACAAGGTAAGAAAATTTCCCTTTTTCCTTTTTATCTCGAGATCCAACCAACTGAACTAGTAATTAGCATCGCCTTATAATACTGATTATATATGGTCTATATATCTTCAGGGTACACTTCATAATGGACAGATGGTAGCTATTAAGAGGCTATCAAGAAGCTCAGGTCAAGGATTAGAAGAATTTAGGAATGAGGTTGTATTGGTAGCCAAGCTTCAACACAGAAATTTAGTGAGGTTATTGGGATTTTGTGCAGAAGAAGAGGAGAAATTAGTTGTCTATGAATTTGTGCCCAACAAAAGCCTCGACTACTTCCTTTTTGGTTTGATCCTTTTCCTTTAGATCAATATCATATAATAAGTACTTCAATGTCTCACCTCATAGTTGAAATTGTATTATTTTGATGGATGTATGTACAGATCCTTAAAAAACAAGGGCAATTGGATTGGTCGATGCATTGCAAGATTATAGGAGGAATTGCTCGAGGAATCCTGTATTTGCATGAGGATTCTAGACTCAAAATCATACATTGTGATCTCAAAGCTAGCAACATTCTGTTGGATGAAGACATGAACCTGAAGATAGCAGATTTTGGCATGGTGAGGATTTGTGGGATGGATCAAAGTCAAGGAAATACAAGCAGAATTGTTGGCACATAGTAAGATTTAACACCAAACTATTATTCTTATTAGCAATTTTGATGTTAGATTGATGTATTGATGGTGCTACATTCTAGTGGTTATATGCCCCCAGAATATGCATTACACAGACACTTTTCAGTAAAGTCTGATGTGTACAACTACGGAGTTATAATACTGGAGATCATAAGCGGCAAAAAGAACAGTTCTTTCTATCAATCAGATTATTCCGAAGACCTCTTGAGCTATGTAGGCACAAAATCAATTTTCTCTTATGTAGATACGGCATTCCGTTAATTATGAGGATTAACTAATGTTTGTCACATGCATGGAGACTTTGGAGGGATGGAACACTATTGGAGCTAACAGATCAAGTTCTAGGCAATTCTTTTCAGCGAAATGAGGTCACTAGATGCATCCATATCGGATTATTATGCGTTCAAGAAGATCCAGCAGACAGACCTATGATAGCAACCGTAGTGCTCATGCTTAACAGTTTCTCGGTCACACTACCATTACCGAAACGCCCAGCATTCTTTGTTCGTAGCACAACAGGGCAGAGTATGCCAGAAATGGGTCCAGAATCAGTTCAATCTTCAAGCAAATCCATGCCATCATCTATAAATGATGTGTCCATCACTGAACTTTACCCTTGTTAGCACAAGGAATAGGAAACTTCAACATTTTTTATCATTCAATACAAATAAGACCTGTTTTTTTTTTTTTTTTATTTATGAACAACAAATATATTGAATTTTTTGCATAGTTTACACCTGTGATTTTGGTAATGTTTGTTCTTAAGACATTTTATATATATCTACAAATTTTTTTCTTGCGAAGTCCTGATTTTTTAATATCCGAACTTTACCTCTCACTAACAAGAGTTAATTCTCGTATGCGAAAGCCGTCAATAGACACAATCTGGTCAACTCATATCAACTTTCACATCAAGAAGTGAGAGTTCGCAACATGTTAGCGAGCGTCTAGCTTAGTAATTGAAGCTTCATTCAACAAAAATTGGACATAATTTTCATTGGTATCCAACAACATATGATTCTAAATCATCCAGCTCTGAGTTAGATTACATAAAAAAATGCAGGTTTTCAGGGAACTGGGAGAGACAGAGAGCAACCCGTGAGCATGAGAACAACTGAAGCCATTGTAGGTCTATTCACTACATTTTCTCGAACACAAAGCAACACAATGTGAATACATCTCATCATTTCACTACCAGAATCAACCCTGAGATTGGGATCTATCAGATTTACAGCTGTCCCTCTCTTTCAATTTCTCCATGCCTGCAAAAATTTCTAAAAGATTTCATGGCCACTGATTCTGAGTTTTATCTAAATAGGCATTCCACTGAGGAGCCATACAATCTAGTTCCTAACCGAAGATCATTACTTGCTCTCTGTATGACTTGAACCCTTGTCGGCAAGCATGTTCTTCCTGTTCATCTGCAAAACTTTCTCAAAGTCACAGCGTGATAGTGCTAACATGCGGTTCAGCCCCTTTTTCACTCCTAACTCCTTTACAAGTGCATATCGTGGTCTGATTCTTTGTTCCAAATGAACCAGCGCCAATTTTAAGATATGCATGGTCAAAAAGAACTCCCATTTTGGTATCAAGTTCTTCGTCAAGCTTAAAGTATATACATTAGGCAATATCGACACCTTGGTCCTGACTTCTTCCACACTGAATCCCCTTTCCAGAAAAATTTGGTCACAGGCTTGAGATGGCCCTCAATAGAAAGACCAAGATTTCCAGGAGATTTGTGGAGAACTATGGCAACATCAGCCCTAAGCGATTTGAAGTACTCGGCTATCAGCCGTAGATTGTCTTCAACTTTGTAAGTTAAAATTCACGGGAACTGAGTTAAGATCTTACCTAGGCTGTCACCTGATAAGCCCAAACTCATTAAGGAAATTAACAACTGCCTGAAGCTTCTTACTGCTGTGACTGAGGAGTGCTGGGCTACGGCATATAACTTTTGCCCACTGTTTCTTGTCCACACCCAAATCTTCAAAGCAAATCATGCTGGGTATTATTTGTTTGTTTGAAGAATTGGGTTTTCAATTGATTGATTTTACATTGAGAGTTACAGACTTTATATAGGGAGTATCCGATCTCCTAAATTTCCTAATTATGTCAATTGAGGATCACACAATATTTTATCTGACATAATTAGGAGATTGCATAATCTCTAGAATATTCTGAGATCGTATACTTGACATAACTAAAAGATTACATAATATTTAGTTGATTACAAAAGATTCACACAATATTATGAAAATCTTAACACTCCCCCTCAAGTTAGTGCATAGATATCACACATGCCCAACTTGTCTAACACTTGTGAGAAAATACGCTTGGAGACAGCCTTGGTAAGAATATCGGCCAATTGATCCTCTGATCGAATCTTGGGCAGTTCAATAATCTTTTCATCCAGTTTTTCTTTGATAAAAATTCTATCTACTTCAACATGCTTCGTACGATCATGTTGAAGTGAGCAATGTCACATGCTGCTTTATTGTCACAATATAATTGGATTAGTTGATTAGGTTGATAACCCAAATCTTGTAGTAGAAATCTTAGCCACAAAGCTTCACAAATCCCAAGTGTCATTCCCCTAAATTCTGCTTCAGCGCTAGAGCGTGCCACAACATTCTGTTTCTTGCTTCTCCACGTGACTAGATTACCTCCTACAAAAGTGAAATAACCAGAAGTAGATCATCTGTCATCCACTGCTCCAACCCAATTAGCATCAGTATATGCATGCACATTTTGGTAGTCCTTATTTTTATAAAATAAGATTCCTTTTCTAGGAGCATGTTTTAAATATCTCATGATACGCATAACTGCGTTCATATGCTGCTCTCCAGGATTATGCATGAACTGACTGACTATACTCAATGCATAAGCAAGATCTGGCCTGGTGTGAGACAAATACATCAATCTTCCCACAAGTCTTTGGTATCTCCCTTTGTCAACTGGTACTTGATCAGTCTCGACTCCTAATTTCAAGCCTTCTTCGATTGGTGTATTAGCTGGTTGACATGCTGACATACCAGTTTCCTGCAGCACATCCAAGGCATACTTTCTTTGTGATAGAAATATACCTCTATTAGATCATGACACTTCAATTCTAAGAAAATATTTCAAAGAACCTAGGTCCTTCATCTCGAATTCTTCTGATAAGTGCTTTTGTAGAGCCTTCCTTTCTTCTGGGTCATTTCCTGAACCACCATATCATCCACATATACAATAAGTGTAGTAATCTTTCCTTGCTATTTTTTAAGGAATACTGTGTGATCTGAATTGCTCTGATGGTAGCCAAAAAACTTCATAGCTTTGGTAAACCTCCCAAACCATGCCCTCGGAGATTGTTTTAACCCATACAATGACTTCTTTAACTTACATACCTTTTGGCTATGTTTCCTTGATAAAATACACCCTGGTGGAGGATCCATAGAGATTTCTTTAGACAATTCTCCATGTAGAAAAGCATTCTTCACATCGAACTGCTGTAATGGCCAATCCAGGTTTGTTGCCAAAGATAACAAGACACGTACTGTGTTGATTTTGGCCACAGGTGCAAATGTCTCTGTATAATCTATCCCATGAGTTTGAGTGTACCCTTTTGCTACTAGTCTTGCTTTAAATCGTTCAATCATACCATCCGCTTTATACTTCACAGTGTAAACCCATCGACATCCAACAGTCTTCTTTCCTGGTGGACGATCAACAAGTTCCCAAGTCTCATTCTTCTATAGTGATTTCATCTCTTCATTCATAGCAACTTTCCATTTTGGATTGGATAAGGCTTCCTGCACATTGTTAGGAATATATACAGTAGATAATTGATTCACAAATGACAAATTTGATTCTGACAGACGATGGTTAGACACATAATGACTCATGGGATATTTGACCTTACTAGATGGCTCAAGTTCATATGTTGGTTTAGGAATCTCTCTAGTACTCCTTGATGGTAACTGTGTCCTAATTGGTTCAGGTTCTATTGGTTCAGACTCTAAATCAAGAACATTTGTAGTGAATGATGATTGTGATATACTAGGAATGAGAGATTCAGACTGAGATGAAGTTTTTTCGGATAGAGATACCACCTCGACATTTTCATCCACTTCATCTTCTTGTTGATCAACAGGTCTAGTTTCTGACTCATAGTCTCCCACATCTTGACTAGCATAGTCAAGAGTCTAAATTTCTTCCGGACAATACTCCCCTTGAAGTTCAGACTCAGAAGAAAAATACATTAACTCTTCATGAAACACAACATCCATGGTTACAAATAGTTGTTGAGTTGGAGGATGATAACAACGATAACCCTTTTGATGAACACCATACCCAACGAAAACACATTTCAATGCTCTAGGAGACAACTTGTTGTGTTGATGTCTGTGGAGGTGTACGAAAGCAACACAACCAAAAACATGAGGTGGTAAGTTTGCAACCGTTGGAGCATTCACTATTTTACCAAGAGCTTGAAATGGAGTTTGGAACTCAATTGAGCTAGAAGGTATTCGATTGATTATGTAGGCAGCAAAAGTGAGTGCTTCTCCCCAAAAAGACAATGGCATATGAGCTTCTATTAAGGAAGCACGAACAACCTCCAATAAATGCCGATTTTTGTGCTCAGCAACACCATTTTGTTGGGGTGTATTAGGGAAAGTAGTTTGATGAATAATGTCATGTGTCGTCAAGTATTGCTGAAGGTCTTTACTTCGATATTCTCCTCCATTGTCACTTCGTAGAACCTGAACTTGAGAATTATACTGTGTACGAACCATTTGGTGAAATCTTTGGAATACCACATTGACATCCCCTTTAGATTTCATCAAACAAATCCAAGTCATCCTTGTACAGTCATCAATAAAAGTAACAAACCATCATGATCCACTTAAAGTATTAACTTGGGAGGGCCCCCAGACATCGGAGTGAATAAGCATAAAGGGATTTGCACTTTTATTCAATTTAATTGGATAAGAAACTAGATGACTCTTTGAAAGTTCACAAACATCACAGCGGAAACAACTAACATCACTTTGCTTAAACAAACTTGGAAACAATTTCTTCAAGTAACCAAATGAAGCATGTCCAAGACGCCGATGCCATAACCAGATGGAGGATTTCTGCCTATCTTCTTCCGAGCCACTGACTGTAAAAGCTTGTTGTACCATGGTAGAATTTTTTTTCTCTAAATCCAAGTAATACAGCTTCCCTCGTCTAATACCATAACCAATCGTTTGTTTTGTCTGAATGCTCTTAAACACACAAACGTTAGGCCAAAAATCACCACACAAGATAAAGTTTTGGTTATTTGTGAGATTGACAACAAGTTGTAATTTAGAGAAGGAACAACTAGAACTGAATCTAAGTTTAAAGTATTTTAGAAGGTTACTGATCCTTCTCCAATGACTTGAGTGGACTCACCATTGGCAGTAGATACAAATTTATGTGAGGATGGTTTTAGGTGTGAAATATGCATAGAATCAAATGTCATGTGATCGGTAGCACCAGAATCAATTATCCATGCACTATTAGAAATAGATGTACACATATGTAAAGACTTACCATCATTTCCAATAGTTGCTATAAATGATGAGCACTGATCAGCATCTTCTTTCTTTTCCACAACAGCAGCAATAGAGTTTTTCTTGGAATTCTTCTTCCTTTGATCACGACTGTGATCCCACCAGTCTGGATATCCAACCAGTTCAAAACACTAGTTTTGGTATGACCAGATTTGTTGCAGTGGGTGCACTTCTTGTCTGT